AGGGTGGGGGCACTGATAAAGCTCAGTTTTTAAGCAGTGCAACACAACTCCTTGACTTGCAAAGTGAAACCCTGGACTTCGAGGGGTCTGGAGATTCCACTGGAAGAAAGGCCAGGTGGACACACCTGAATCAGCCTCTCCTGTGTGAGGACATTCTCTGTGCCAGGACAAGTGACAACTCACCTGCTCCAGAGACAAGAACAGCCACCTTCACCTTTCTCTTCCCGGGCTGGGGCTGGATCTTGGCAGTGCTGGCGTCCAGCAGCTGCTGGGGGCTGCTCAGCTGCAGGGCCTCTGCAAGATTCTCCACTTCAATGTGAGAACCTGCTCCAAACACATGAGAAAATAGATTTTACCTTTCCTTCTAAACTTACTTGATGTAGTTTATTAATAATGTTTTAACGACAGGAAATTGTGCCTGCAATGAATTTATGCTGGCACAGATAGAGCTCCAGAGGGATCCCCGGTCTCAGGAGCCGTGCTAGTCTCTGGTGTAACCTGCTCACAGAGTTGTTCACAAAGGCCCAGGCATGGCCTTTGCAAGGATTAGTCCCATCTTTTATACCTCCCATGTTGCAAAAGGACACTAAAAATGAGCTGAGGTGACATTTTGGCTGTCCAAATTCTTGGGTTTCCAGAGGGATTTTGGTTCATGTCCTGCTGGTTGTCAATCAGTGACACACCAGGATTCAGACTGACCATCACCACACATGACTGTACAAAGCTGTGGCCTCTCCTCAACCTTTACTCAAGTCTGTGTGAGCTGGGAATGGCTGGACAGTAGGGGAGCTGATCATCATGAGTGTGGAAAAATATGCCCTGATTTTTGGAACAATCAGCACAGGGATTCCCTGAAGCCTCAGGGAGGGGAAGAGGTTATCCAGGTGCTGCCACTCTGAAACAAGAACTCATTTCTCATTTATTTAATACTGAAATGTAAATGTGGAGGTGTCCAGCAGTCTCCAGCTTAGTGAAACAACAGGAAAGTGGTGTGAACTACACAGACTTTGGAACAGGGAGTCTCTTCAGTCCCACAAGGGACTGCTCACCTGTGTGACAAGGGGAAACCACCTTCCCAATCAGCCAGGCCTCCTGCTGCCTCTGGATGTCCTGGAGAACGTGCTGAGCCAGCTCCTTCTGCACGACCAAGACAGCCCCGATCCCACAGGGAAAGGTCTGAGCCATCTCCTCTGCAGAGAGGTTCCCCTCCTTGTAGAGCCAGCCAAAGATTTCAGGGATCTTCCAGCTGAGAGCATCTGGGAAAGATTGAAATTGGTGTGTGGGCACCACAAATGTTTGTTATTATTTATTATTTACTGTCTGCAATGACAGTGATGTGTCACAAGAGCTGGTAGAGAGCAATTCTTGCTGCCACAGAATCCCAAATCCCCGGGGCTGGAAAAGCCCTCCCAGCCCAGGGAGTCCCAGCTGGGCCCCATGCCCACCTTGTCCCCAGCCCAGAGCACTCAGTGCCACCTCCAGGGGACACCTGCAGGGATGGGCACTGCAAAGCTCCCTGGGCAGCCCCTGCCAGGGCCTGAGCACCCTTTCCATGGGGAAATTGCTGCTGCTGTCCCAGCTGAGGGGACCTTAAAACCCATCTCAATCCATCCTCTGCCATGGGCAGGGACACCTTCCACTATCCCAGGGTGCTCCAAGCCCCAGTGTCCAACCTGGCCTTGGAAATTTCTTTCTTTCCAACTTCATTCTAGAGAAATACAACCCAACACACCCAAGACACCTTTCTTTCCCCCTCCCCACTGTATTTTTATACTCACATGAACATGGTTTTCTTTAGTATTTCAAACGTCTAAATTCTTTTCCCAGTTTTGGCTTCATCAGAAAAAGTCCTGCCTTACTCACAGATGTCAGATATGGTGGGGAGGCTACCAAAAAGTGCATTAAATGTGTGTGTGTGTGTGTGTGGAGAAAATAATGCAAATTTATTGCCCTACCAAACCTCAGTATTTGGTCAAAATGTTTTGTTTGGAGAGGTGTCCTGAAGAACACAAGATCTACTCCAACACATTTTGTCCTAGAGATGTGCTGCCCTTAATCTTCTCTGGAATTTCCCTTCTCCAACAAACAATGGGGCTCATGACTTGGAATAGGAATGGTTTTGGGAAGCACCCACCTGGGGCTGTTCCCCTCTGCAGGGACGTTTCTGAGGATTCCAGCTGCAGCTGGGAGGTCAAGGCCATGCTGGGCCTGAGTTCTGTCCCACAGGAGCACCTCAGGTACTCACCCAGGACAGCGCTGAGGTGCTCGGGCAGGAGTCTGGAGATGCCCCCCAGGAGCCCCTCGGCCATGGGGGCAAAGCCCTTCACGTGCCCCGAGCGAAGGACGGGCAGCAGAGCTGGGCTGAACATCTTCCCTGGGGTCAGCAGAACATCTCCTGCAAACAACAGCCTCAGCTCAGTCCTGTTTTAAAACCTCAGGAGAGGTTTAGAATCAAAATACCACAGACTGGTTTGAATTGAAAGGGAGCTCAAAGCCCACCCAGTGCCACCCCTGCCATGGCAGGGACGCCTTTCACTGTGCCAGGCTGCTCCAGCCCCAGTGTCCAGCCTGGCCTTGGGCACTGCCAGGGATCCAGGGGCAGCCCCAGCTGCTCTGGGCACCCTGTGCCAGGGCCTGCCCACCCTGCCAGGGAACAATTCCAACCCCATATCCAGCCTAAATGTCCCCTCTCTTCCCCCTTGTCGTGTCCCTCCATCCCTTGCCCCAAGTCCCTCTCCAGCTCTCCTGGAGCCCCTTTAGGAATTAGAAGGGGCTCTGAGCTCTCCCGGAGCCTCCCATTCCCCAGGCTGAAATAAATTAATTTATTTCACAGGCCGTGGGGTGTTTTTGGAAATGCTTCCCTGAGCAGGTTCTCTCCCAGTCCTTGCAGCAGGCCTGGGGAAGGAGGCAGGGCTGCTGCAGGAGAGCAGCGGACCCCAAAGGCTGAGGAGCCCAGCCGGATGGGAGCAGCCCTGGCCCTGCACAGCCCGGGGAAGCAGCAGCGCCCACCCAGCGTGGTGTCCCCGCAGCTGCCCGGGGCAGGTGAGGAGCAGTGCAGGGAGGATGTCAGCAGGATGCTCCGCACCACGCCGAAGGCGCGGCCGTGGATGGCGGCAGAGCCCAGCCCCAGGAGCACGTCCCCCTCCTCGGCTCTCTGCAGCCCCGGCAGCCTCTGGCCCCGCTCCACCGCGCCCACCGCGAACCCGGCCAGGTCACAGTGGCCCGGGGGACACGGAGCTGCCACTTCTGTCACCTCCGCACCTGCAAGGGGAGAGAGCGGTCAGCACCCCCTGCTTCTGCTCGTTTTGGACTCCCAGAATCCCAAAAGGTTTGGGTTGGGAGGGACCTCAAATCCCACCCAGTGCCACCCCAGCCATGGCAGGGACACCTCCCACTGTGCCAGGCTGCTCCAGCCCCACTGTCCAACCTGGCCTTGGGCACTGCCAGGGATCCAGGGGAATCTGGGAATTCCATCCCAGCCCTGCTCACCCTGCCAGGGAACAATTCCCAATTCCCAATCTCCCACCCAGCCAGCCCTCCCTCAGCTCAAAGCCATTCTTGTAACACCATTTTAAATTTATGGCATCTCCTGAAGTCAGCAGCACATCCAGGGACACACAGCCCAAGAAGATTCAGATATCTTATTAAATTCTTCTTGGTTTCTTACTTCACCTCAAGACTCCAACAAAACAAAGCTTCATGAAAGAAGTGGTTTTGTCATTATTGTTTCTGGTACTCACATGGCACCTCCCTGAGTATGGGAGAGGGCTTGAAAATATTAACATTGTGGAATGTGAGGCTTCCAGTTCTATTCTCCTTTGTTCAGGGATAAAGAAGGAAGAACAAGGATCCACGTGCACAAACACTAAACCCCATCTTTATGTGCTGACCCATTTTACAAGAAGGAAGCACAAATTCTCAACTGTTTTTTTCCCACCAAACAGAAACCAACAATTCCAGGGCCACATTCTGCCTCTGCCTCCTGCCAAGTCCATTCCTCTGGTGATAAATTCAACCTCAGCCCCTTCACATCTCAGAGGAGAGGAGGGTCCATACCCAGGAAAGCACAGCCTGCACTCCTGCAAGCCTCAGCTATTCCTTCTTTGATTGTCTCCATCACCTCAGCATTGAGTTTGGCACAGGCCAAATGGCTGAGGAAGAAGAGGGGCTCAGCCCCCTGGGCCAGGAGGTCGTTGACACACAGAGCCACCAGGTCCTGCCCGATGGTGTCGTGTCTTTTACAGACCTGGGCAACCTGCAAGACATGGTGGGAACGAGAAACAGGCAAACTCAATTATTCATCAGTGAAAACAGCAGAAACCTTCTTTTCTCTGAAAGGAATCACTGCAGGACACACATGGAAGATAGAACCTGGTGCATTACCTGGTTGAAATCAAGAGAAAACAGCTAGTTTTCTTGCAGACAGAAAAAGTAAAATCTGTTTTGCTGTTTCTTTTAATATAAATTCAAATTTCAGCCATAGCTACCTAGAAATTGTCATTTTGAGAGGTTTTTTTTGTTTGCTTTCTGGAATATTATCACAGAATCATGGAATGATTTGGGTTGGGAGGGACCTTAAAGCACTGCCAGGGATCCAGGGGCAGCTGCAGCTGCTCTGGGAATTCCATCCCAGCCCTGCCCACCCTGCCAGGGAACAATTCCCAATTCCCAATCTCCCACCCAGCACTGCCCTCTGGCAGTGGGAGCCATTCCCTGGCTCCTGTCCCTCCATCCTTGTCCCCAGTCCCTCTGCAGCTCTCCTGGAGCCCCTCCAGGCCCTGGCAGATCTTTGGTCAAGCACAGACAGTTCCCTCAGGGAAGTTCCTGTCTGTTTTTAGAAATCCTCAGGGTGTTTGCATTTCACAAGTAATAAAACCTGGCTCAGGTGTTGTGGCTCCCATGAAGTTCTGACATTTCCAGCTCTCAGGGGTACCCCGGAGTGTCCTGCTCAGCTCACAGGGCTGCCATGGACAAAGGTGACACAGGGATCACGGAATTATAAAATCAGAGAATTATTTAGGGTGTAAAAGGCCTTTATCATCAGTGGATAAACTTTCACTGACACAGCTCCAGCTGTGCAGAAAAGCCCAAGACAGAGGGATGGGCGAGGGGAAAACCTGGATAAACACCACTGGATTCCAAAGGGTGAGGGAGCAGCACCCAAACAAAGGCTGGGCTTGGATTCCTGATTGATTTCCCTGGCTGCTGGATTTAGGAGTGCTATGGAAACAGGCACCCCACGGCCTTTGTGCATGACAACACCTCCCTCCCACTGCTCCAGCAGCAATCCTGGCAGGCAGCAGCCAACCTTTCCTTGGCCAAGGAAGAACCTTGGGAGCACAGCTGGGGATGTCTCTGTGCCAAGCAGTTGGAACAAAGACCCACAAGAGCCTGCAGCAATCACTTTTTCATGCTCAGAGGTGCCTGAGGGTCTGAGACTGCCAAAAACCTTTGGGATGACTCTGCTCAATCTCCTGCTGTTCGTTGTCCTGGCATTAAAGGCAGAAATCATTTGAAACAAGGGACATGGCTGTGCTTGAGAGTGAAAGGAGCTTCAGATCTCCTGATGGTTGAAAACCTTCTGATTTAATAGATAAATAAATCTCCAGGTCAACTTATCCTGATTCAATACATAAATATACCCCTGGTTCAATTTGTCCCAATTCTCTACATAAATATATTCCTAACTCAGCTTATCCTGTGTGCTCTTGGCTAATTAAAATTCTTTATTTCTCAGCTTCTTTAATGTTTATTTCTTCCATCCTTCCTTTCCCCAGTGCCCTGGCAGAGGTACCTGTTCTCCCTCTCCACACACACTGAGCCTGCCAGTTCTCATTTCAACAACTCCCTGTGCTCCTCCACACAGATCCTCCTTGAAGCCAATGGAACCTCTAATTTAGAGCAGAAATTCTGGGCTTTAGTGCCTCAGGTTTGCAGCTACATTTTGGGCTGCTATCATTTCACCACAAAATATCCACATGCCCAGTGAAGTATGCCCAGGCCTTGCACAAATCACCATTTTCCAAGTGCAGGTGCCCCTGTGGTGGGCTCAGGAGTGTTTGTAGAACTCAGCAGGGTGCAGGTGGTGGGACTGGAACACTGCAACAGCCCTGGCAGCTTGTTGGAACCCTGGCTGCTGAGAATTTCAGACTTTCTGTGCCACCAAACACTGGCCCCCAAGAGAACACTGCGTTTGACCTGAAACTGTGGAGAAAGCTTCCAAAACTAAATTATAAAACTGAAATGATGGGTGCATCATTTAAATAGAATTGTGTAATATCATATGGTAAAAAACCTACAGTTTAAAGTTTTAGCATATAGTAATAGATATAAAACAAGATAAAAGTTTTTAAGCAGAAGCTACTCCTTCTTCTTTACCTTCTTCTTCACCTTCTTCATAGGTTTAAGCAGTATTGTGTAATTAGATAAAAAAATCCACATTATGAGTCACTAGTTAGTTACAAAGTTAAAAGTAAAACTAATTTAAGTGTAATTTCTTAATTAGACACTTTATCCTTAAAAAACCTTATAGAAAGAGAGATACGACTCCATTTTTTACCTTGCATTGTAAAACTCACAACTTGTAAAACTGTAACATAAATAAAAAACTAATAAACATCTTAGTCCAAGATACAACAAGATACAAACATGTAAAGAAACAACATAAAGACATCGAAGTCAGCAAAGAAAAAATCAAATACCAAATAGGGAGGATAAGGAAATGTCTTAATCTTAAGGCTTAAGAAAAACTCTTGTAAAACTATAGGGAAAAACTCTTTTTCCCTATAACAGATGAAAGTATAGAGAGATGAACGTGATCAAACTGATATCAAACAAAAGCCTCCATACCAAAGTTAACAGAAAATAAAGCAGCTGTAATCTAGAGGAAGCTTAAAAAGAGAAAGAGGGGAAAATGATAAGACCCTATACCCCCAAAGAGAGAAGAAGTCCTCTATTCCCAGAGATAAAGATGATTTTAGAAATCAATAATAATAATTTAAAAATCATAAAAATCAGCAGCAGGTGACATCAGCTTTGCTGCAGAGGAGCTGCCAGTTACAAACCTGCAGTTTGGGGCCAAGGCCCTTGGTCTGGGACACCAGGATGGGATCATCATAACCAGATGCCCTCAGGTCAAAGAAAGCAGCAAAGCCTCCTCCTTCTGAGCACCCCCCTGCCAGGTACAAACACGGCATGGACTGCATTTATGGGAGATAAAAACCCCCCAAAACTCTCTCCAAGAAAAGAACTGCAAATTATCCCCAAATCCCTGGGGCTGGCAAAGCCCTCCCAGCCCAGGGAGTCCCAGCTGGGCCCCATGCCCACCTTGTCCCCAGCCCAGAGCACTCAGTGCCACCTCCAGGGGACACCTGCAGGGATGGGCACTGCAAAGCTCCCTGGGCAGCCCCTGCCAGGGCCTGAGCACCCTTTCCATGGGGAAATTCCTGCTGCTGTCCCAGCTGAGCCTGCCCTGGCCCAGCCTGAGGCCGTTCCCTCTCCTCCTGTCCCTGTTCCTGGAGCAGAGCCCGACCCCCCGGCTGTCCCCTCCTGGCAGGAGCTGTGAGAGCCACAAGGTCCCCCTGAGCCTCCTTTTCCCCAGGGTTTTAATTACTATTATTTTATTTATTCACTTATTTCCATTATATTCCTCTCCATTCTGCACCTCTAAGAAGCACAATCACCTCCATGGCAAGCCAGGCATTTTTTAATTAATCATGAGAGGAGTGGCAAGAAAAAAATCAGTTTTCTTTCTTTGTGCTGATGCAGGCCCAATTTCCCAAGCTCAGTTTCAATGCCACAAGTGCATTGCCCAACCCCTAGGGATAAAAAAACCAGTATACTGAGGGAATTCCCACTGAGGGAATTTCCCTACCTGCCCTGGAGCCTCTCACAGCAGATGTTTGTGGCAGACGACTCAAAACCTCCCTGCTTCCAGCTCCCACGTGTCTGTCCTTGTACACCAGGGCCCTGTGGGGAGGCAAGGACGAGCTGGCAGCAGCAGGGACCCTTCTGCAGTGCCCAGCAGAGGTGGCCCAGATGTGAGGGGCAGGGAGGAACATCTGGGCTGCGCTCACGTACAGGGGCTGGCGGAGCAGCCGCAGGCCCCGGTGCCCGATGTCCCTCCTGAAGGTGGCCCCCTGGAAGTGGATGGTGGCCACGCCTCTGTTGGCTTCTCCCAGAGCTTCCATCAGGTCCTGCCTGACAGCAGTGATGGACAGGACTCTGCCACCACTTGTCACCACCCGGCCATCCTTCAGCGCTGTGCCCCCGTGGAACACCTGCAGCCCCAGCTCCTTGGCTTGCAGAAGCCCTGCAAAAACAAAGGGGATCCTCTGAGGCTTCTGAATTGCATTCTCTGCTGACAATCTCAGAATTAAGGTGGGAAGAGCCCTTCAGGGTCATCCAATTGCACCCCAGCCCCACCAGCATCACCCAAACCCTGTCCCCAGGGGCCACACCCAGGCTCCTCCTGAGCACTCCCACAGACAGTGACTCCAAACCTCCCTGGGAACTCATCCCAAGGTCTCACGCCTCCTGAAGGGAAATTCTCTTTCCCAATCTCCAACCTGAGCCTCCCCTGGTGCCATTTGAGGCCATTTCCTCTCCTCCTTTCCCTTGGGACACGGCAGCAGAGCCCGACCCCCTCACTGCCCCTCCTGTCAGGAGCTGTGCAGAGCAGTGAGGTCCCTCCTGAGCCTCCTTTTCTCAAGCTGAGCCCCCACAGCTCCCTCAGCTGCTCCTTCCAGGATGTATTTTCCAGACCTTTCCCCAGATCCTTTCCCTTCTGTGGACCAAACACTGAAAATTGAAGTCTTGCATTCAGTCAAGGAACAACAGAAATTTTCACCTTTGCTTTTTTCTGAGAACCAGCATCACCAGTGAAAGACATCCCACTGCACAGGCCCCAGGAATCCCCTTCTGAGCCATCCACTAAAGCATCAAGGAATTCCAGACTGGTTTGGACTGGGAAGAACCTCACAGCCCGTCCAGTGCCACCCCTGCCATGGCAGGGACACTTCCACTGTCCCAGGCTGCTCCAACCTGGCCTTGGGCACTGCCAGGGATCCAGGGAAATCTGGGAATTCCATCCCAGCCCTGCCCACCCTGCCAGGGAACAATTCCCAATTCCCAATCTCCCACCCAGCCCTGCCCTCTGGCAGTGGGAGCCATTCCCTGTGTGCTGTCCCTCCATCCCTGGAAATTGTCTCTCTCCAGCTTTCCTGGGGCTCCTCCAGGCCCTGCCAGGCCACCCTGAGCTCAGCCCAAAGCTTCTCCTGTGCAGGTGAACAATCCCAGCTGTGCCAGCCTTTCCTGCCAGCAGAGCTGCTCCATCCCTCTGCTCATCCTGGAGCCTCCTCTGGGCCCTCTCCTACATGTCCACATCTGGGACACCCCAAAAGTAAAGCAAGAAATCCCACAGGGACAGAAATATGGGATGCAGGAGCCACCACACATATCCCTGCCCTGTGCCAGGAAAGCTGTGCTCTCTCTGGGAGCTGTGGGTGATTTGTGCAGGGTTTTCCTGCAGGAAATCACAATCCACAGCCATTTCCTGCCTGGATTCTCCCCTCTCCCTGACATTCCACCTTCAGTGCTGATGTTACCTCTGCTCTCCCCCACTATTCCATCCTGTCCCCTCCACACAATTCCCTGCAACACCTGGAGCTGGTGCTCCACAAACACTCACAGGTGGCTGCTCGGACACAGGGAAGCAAAACTGTTCAAGGTTTGGGGTTTTTTAGATTCCTATTTTGAGGGAAGAGAAGAGGAGGAACTGCTGCCATCGCCTGGGGAAATGAGAACCAAGCACAGTTTTCTCCTTGCTACAGGCTCAGGGGATTCTCCCCCCTGGCCCTGCTGCAATCCAATCCCTTTGCATCCTGTTTTAAGGAATACTCCAGAACAGAAAGTTTGCCAAGACATTAAAAGGAGAGAATCACAGAATATCCTGAGCTGGAAGCACACACAGGGATCACCCAGTCCCACCCCTGGCCCTGCACAGGACACCCCAACAATCCCACCCTGGAAGCATCATCCAAAAATATGTGATTCAGTGTGAAAAAGAGAATAAAAACTAATAAACCCCATGAAACTCTGAAGTGGAAGATAATAACGGAATAATAATATAAGAATTCAATAAATAATAATAATTATAATGATAACATTATAATTAATAAAATAAATACTAAAAGATTATAATAAATAAAGCAATAATAAAAGAATGGATTGAATTCCATTTATTTGATGTCTTTTTCGTGATTAACAAGCAGGGGGTCAGAAACCCTGCCAGGGACAAGGCACCAGAGCATGACCTTGTCCCTGGTTCATGGAGGGTTCCCAGAGAGAAAATGCCAAAAATTCCTGCCAAAATTCAGGAGCCCTGGCCAGGAGCTGAGACCAGGAGAGGGTGGGACTGGCAGGGCAGGAGCTGAGTGGGCAGGAAATGGTTCTGCAACAGTTCCCTCTGTTTATAAACATTGCAAACATCTCAGGAGATCCTGAACCAGGAGTGCTGAACAGAGGAAATGGATATTGCATACCTGCATGAATCCTGAATTTCTATATCCAACATCCAAATGGACATTGAGTACCTGCAGGAATCCTGAATTTCTATGTCCAATATCAAATGGATATTGCATACCTGCATGAATCCTGAATTTCTATATCCAACATCCAAATGGACATTGAGTACCTGCAGGAATCCTGAATTTCTAGATCCAATATCAAATGGATATTGAGTACCTGCAGGAATCCTGAATTTCTACATCCAACATCTAAATGGATATTGAGTACCTGCAGGAATCCTGAATTTCTATGTCCAATATCAAATGGATATTGAGTACCTGCAGGAATCCTGAATATCTATATCCAACATCTAAATGGACATTGAGTACCTGCAGGAATCCTGAATTTCTACATCCAACATCCAAATGGATATTGAGTACCTGCAGGAATCCTGAATTTCTATATCCAATATCAAATGGATATTGATATCTAAATGGATATTGCATACCTGTATGAATTCTGAACATCTATATCCAATATCCAAATGAATATTGCATACCTGTATGAATTCTGAACATCTATATCCAATATCCAAATGAATATTGAATACCTGCATGAATCCTGAATATCTTTATTCAATATCCAAATGGATATTGATATCTAAGTGGATATTGCATACCTGTATGAATCCTGAATATCTGTATCCAATATCCAAATGCTATTGACATCTAAATGAATATTGAATATACCTGTAGAATCCTGAATATCTATGTTGAATATCTATATGGATATTGAATATATATTTCTAATAGCTGTATGAAGATTGAATATCAGTGTCAAACATCCATATGATAATTGAGTATCTGTATCTAACATATGCATAGATATTGGATACCTATGCAAATACCAAACATTTATATCAAATATCTATATTAATATTAAATACCTATATAAAATATTCATATAAATATTGAATACATATATATAATATATATGAATATTTAATATCGAATATCCAAATGAATATTGACTATCTATAGCTAATGTATCTATATAGAATATCTATTCTAATACCCACATGAATATTGAATACCTATCTCTAATATCTAAGTTAATATTGAATACCTACATAAATACAGAATATCCCAATGCCCACCTTGCCCAGACTCTGGAGCCCTGTGAGTAATTAAATAATTAACAAGCCAGAGTTACCTGTTACCTCCATGCCCTTGTCAGAGTCTCCTGGGTATCCTGGGCTGGCCATGACCACACACACAGCAGTTCTGTTCTCCAGCCAGGCTGGCATGCAGCTGCAGAGTCTGCCATCAATTGTTGCTTGAATCACTTCATACAAATCATTTTTAAGCAGAGGGAGAATTACCTGTAGAAAAGTTTTCAGAGTGATGTAAGTTAATTTTTATTTTGCTTGCTTGTTGAAATTCACCTTAGGGAAAATTCAGTTGATGGAATACAATCTGTATGTGCCAAGCCAGTAGAGTTGGAAACTCTGGGTTTTAATTTAATTTGCAGCATCTTTTGGCACCAGTCATAAATTTAGAAACATAAGGTGTGGGCTTCTGTAGAAGGAACATTAATTTAGGTCCCTCCCATTCTGATTCTAGCCAGAAAAACAAAATCTGAGGAACAGATTTTTTAAACTAATAAAAAAGCTCACGGGAGCTGACATAATGTTAAGTTACCTCAGATGTTCACATCCAGATCTTTCCCTAGAAATAAACTACAACAGTAAGAGGTAAAAGAATGTAGCATCTTTAATTTTCCAGTGTGTTCCACTCACCTGACACTGGGGGTCCCCAAACTGGCATTTAAAGTTTAAAACCTTCACCCCCTCTTTAGTCAGCATCAAACCTGTTTGCAGCACACCTGGACACAAAGCCAAGAAAATGAACTTAAACATTTCTTTCTTTCTTTCAAGAACTCTGTTAAAATAAATATTTTGGAGCATTCTGCAAATAAGAAGGCATTAGGGGCAAGAGTTCTGCAAGCCATAAGAATTCCCAAATATCCATAAAGGTGACAAGCAGCCACCAGAGGAGCAGGGCACCACAGTTTAAACCCCACAAAGTTCTCTGGCATCGTGCACCCAACTCCATCCTTACTCAACTCCCACTCCACTCTTACTCAGGCATTGTAAAAAAGGCCCCAAAAAGCAGAAGCTGAAGATGTGGGTGGGAGCCCAACTCTTTGGAGGTCTGAGATCTCTTCAGTGCCAACAGCAGCCCTTGGCATCAAATGACACCTGTGGGCACCTGCCTTTCCCAAAACAGCCTCTGGATAAAGATCTGGAGAAAATGGACATTGTTGTATGTAGGAGTGAGCAGTACTGCAGGACTGAAGTATATGTTCTGCCCTGAACTGCAAATAAATCTGTTTTATTAAAAAAAAATTTAATAAAATCGTGGTGTTTTAAGGAAACGAGGCCAAAGTATTCTCCCAAAGAGCTGTGAACCAAACGAGTGGGGCTTAACACTGCATGAAAAATGAGCTGATGCTGGGTTGTTTTTTTAAATCAAATACCATCTGGCATTGAGAAGCAGCCTCTGACCATGGAAGTGGCCTGGATAGGGGCTTACCTTGGTTTTCAGCTGCTCACTCACCTACATAGGCTGCTCCTTCTTGTCTCAAGCTGGCCACGACGTGCTGGAGGATTGCACTCCTGATTTGCTCTAGGAGAGCTTCTGGAACCTGACAACCAGAGGAAAGCCATGAGGCAGGGCTGGGGCAGGAGCAGGGCTGGGGCAGGAGCAGGGATGGGGCAGGAACAGGGAT